TGCGAATTCACCTCTGTGCAAGATTTACGATTACGAAGTAGCAATACGCTAGCAATATATTAGTAAACAATATCAGTACCATGAGCGGGTGGAGCTGATTAGTGGTCATAATAAGCTGATAGGAACCGTATTTACACTTGCTTCTTTATTTGGTTAGGCAATTGTGATGTTTGATGAGGGAAAGAAATCGTCGTTTTTTTTAAAATGCGGCAATCGGCATGCCGCAGCTCTTGTGTTATTATCTGCCTCTTTGATTCAATGTGAAATAGCATACTGCATACTTCATACAACTGTCTATCAATGACTACCCCTTAAAAATTTGGTTTTATACTACCAGTCTTAGCATCTGTAGATTTGTTCATTGTTCCTGTTCCATTTTTCATTTCGACATTTTTATCGGTCTTAATATCTGTGTATGAAACAATGGAAAGCACGAAAGCGAAGTATCGTCGTTCTAAACGCATCCCCGCATATTCCATTCGGCAGAGGAACGTGGCTTGCGACGCGGTAATGAAACGACTTCGAACCTAACCTTCCGTTTGTTTCGCGTCAATTTTCTAAGAACGACACGAAATCGGTCAGCTGTGACAGCTGCTGTTCACTCGGCAGCACATCGTGCGGTTTAACACCTGCAACACAGAGAGGTAGACACAGAGTAAACACAGAGGAAAAAGGTCCCTGCTGATTATATATTTTATATATATATATATATATAGGTATAATAACACATTAGACACAGAGTAATAACAGAGATTAGCATATATTATATAATAATATAATTATATAACTTAATAATTAATATATAATATAATATAATAATATATATAATATATTACAAATATATTAATAAATTATATAATTTAATAATAATATATATATATATATATCATATATATATTATATATATATATATACATATATAACACATAGACTCAGAGTTAACACAGAGATAGCATATATATTATATATATATATATATATAACATAGACTCAGAGTAAACACAGAGGAAATATATTTACGACGCACACGCACGCACACGCACGCATGCACGCACGTACAGCAGAGATGCCAACACTTTATCTGAGCAAACTGTAGTGAGGATGTCATGAAATCTGTCAGTCGAGGGTCACGCAGTGGACCGAGTATGCTAGGGGGGTTGCGGGATGCCCCCCCCCGGAAAATGTTGATTTGTGAATGCAATTTCCTGCATTCTGGGCGACCAAAAATGACAATAAGTTCAAAACTGATATTTGCTGCTAAATACATGTAGTATTTCAATCATGTTATATCAATGTAAACTGAAACAAACACTTGAAATATCATCAAAATGATTTTTTTCAATCGTAATAAAAGTCGTAGCTGTATGCAAACTGGTCGTAGTGGTCAAAATGCAACACGAAATTCGTATATAAATACGATAAATCGTAGTGGTTGGCATCTCTGACGCACATGCACACGCACACGCATGCACGCACACACACACACACACACACACACACACATCAAGAGTCAATAATCACAAATTTGTTTTTAAAACAAAATTAATCTGAGATTAGTTACCTCTGATATATATATATATAAACAACATATATATATATGAAAATGAAACAACTCACAAGCATATATACTGCCTTAATCAGCATGTTAGTAAACAATGTGCAAAATGCATACAACGTTTAAGAAAACACCTCAAGTCTCTAAGAGATTTCATAAGTCGCACAACTTTAAATGATAATAATAGTTAAAACAACATTATTGGTATCCTGTAATTCAGTGAAGTCAAAAATACTACTAAGGAAAAGGGAAACCCTGTATGTGAAGTATATAAATACTTACTTGGCTTTTTGGGAGATATCATTTTTGTTGTGCTGTCGGCATGCCAACCCCTTGCTATTGCTTCTGTAATACGCAAAAAAACACATGTACAATTAAATAATTTAATAAATTTCACAACAGCCTTAACGATGCGCTACACATTGTGCACATCATGGGCTGTAAACCAAAATGAGATTCAAATCAACAGTTAATTTAAATTCAATTTCAAATAACGATTTAATTCCGAATACGTGGAGCATGTACTGTCGAAGCTGTTTATTAGCTTAACCGTCTACTATAGAATGAACCCACCTATAAAATGCTCTTTAGGCATTAGGGGCTCTTAAGGATGCTTATATACAGCTTCAACTAAACCTTTGGTACATAGTAAAGAAATTAGCCAAGAGAAAAAGAAAATGTCCAAAGAAGTTTGACATGACTGCAAATAATCACAGACTTCACAGGACATGTAAAAACTTACCACTGACAGACTGATCTGGTTGAAGGCCAAGAAACTGTGAAAAATCTGCGATGCCGATCGATGAATAAGCTTGCGCCACCAGATCAAACGCTTTCTGCCGAACAGATTCTGTATCGAGGAACGTGAAGGATACACTCAAGGTTTTACGCCAAATTCCATTGATTATTAAATTTCATTCAAATTCGATGGCTAACACAAGGTGCCACCTCTCTGTACATGCTTATTTCTCCAACTACTGTCGCATGCGAACTTTCAGAGCATTTTGGGTGCCCGTGTGTGGTGAGCCGTGGTTATCTAAACACACATTTACTGATGACGTTAGAGGCATGATCCAACCAGCCTGTTCACGGTATGCCAGAATCGATCCGCCTCAACCCTCCAGTTGCGACTGATAGTTGAAATTACCGAGCGGTCGAAAACAGCATTTATACCTCGTTACTTACATTATACCGGCCCCGGTTTGTTAACACATAGCTTAGTGATGTCATGCAGTATGTTGCATTCGCACGTTTCGCATTAAATTGCGATGGTAACCTTGTAATTTCTCACCATTTCTCGAGGTGCACAAAACAATTTACCAATTTAGTGATTTCCGTTAGTCATGCATATGTCGCAGTAAGTACTAACAGTAGATGTTTCACATACGTTCACACATTTCACACACAGGCGGTTGATCATTGCAAAAAGTAGAAAAACGCTGATTTCTATATTTCGATTTCTACCACAGTGTCTTTCTACAGTACAGCCAGCATTACCACCATCCCTTTTGTATAGTTTTTTATTGCAAATCTGACGATTGCAATACCATTTCTCTGAATTAATATGAAGGGGTACCCCAATCATAGAAATAGGTCTGAGCACCCAGCCAGTACCGATATCGAAATTGTGATGATTTCTACCATACAACCTACTACTGTAGTAGAATCATACTACTGTAGTATGAATTTTTAATTCTACTGTAGTAGAATCCAAAAAAATTCGCCACTCCTGCGTAAAAGTACTCAGTCCCGGAATGACCATTTTCATCGCTGGGCACCACCTTCACAACTCCCTCTCTTATCTTCCACATTCGTTGGCCTCTGCTACTCTCCCAGAAGACAGGGCCATACTTAAAAAATTATATGTTTGCTGTCCTCCAACCGACCCACGAAAATAGCCGCGACCCAAAAGTTTTTTTTGACATTTTGGGATCCATATTATTATTTTTTTTTTTTAAACATTTTTCATAGTTAAGACTGAAACACAAAGAATGTGTGGCAAACACGAGGACAGACTTAAAATAACTATTATGCCTCACACAAAAAAATGACCTACCTACCTACCCACTAAAAAAATCATGGGTCGGGGGACAGCAAACATAGAATTTTTCAAGGATGGCCCAAGCTGCCATTTCTAACATTCAACACCCATCCCAAATTTCCTCCGCTCGATATTCATTGGCCTCCTCTACTTAAATAAGTGACAGTAATAACACGACGTCGCATTTACCTTCTAAGGCCGTCATGATGGGTTTGATGGACTCGGACCAGTCCTGCCGTAGGCTCACATAGATGCCACTGAAATTTCGCAACCACATCTTCTGGCCAACCGCCCAAATAGCAGCTAATTCCGGGTTCGACTGAATAAAATTAGAGAAGGGCATTAGTTGGATGAATCTGACGAACTTACGAACTACGACTTAGAAGCATTGTGTAACAATTCTGGGTCCGACTGAAAAAAATGGAAGAATCACATGATCAATTAGAGGAGTCCGACTTAGAAGCATTGTATAATGTCGGTCTCTCGTTAACTTCTCAATCTTCATAGAAATCCTGACAAGCTCGCATATATGTGTATGTAGTGCTAGTCAATGTTTTATTTTTGTACGCTTAATAAATTAATGTATTGAAAATGGACTTCTTTGTTTTATTGGTACTGTCGCATAGGAACTGCAAAATTGAAGTGAATATTTTACAAAATTACGTTAATAACACGCGATTTACACTATCTGAAATTCTATCTCGATTTCTGTATTAATACTCATTGCACTAAAATAAATCTATGTCTTTGCTATGGTGTGTATGTGACATGTACCTGTTTTACTGCTGGAGGAATTCGCTTCCACAGATACCTTGCATTGGACCTGAAAGTAAAAATATCAGGCACATTCATCAACTCTTACTATCAGTAATATATAAAGCGAGAGAAATTCATCTAAGACTACTGTATATATGGTATATAAATTATAATTATTTGTGACATTAATATTACTTGAATTATTCATTCCATGAAGTGGAATGAAAGGTTTATGATAACAAGCACACACATGCTTCCCTGCATGCTTGCCTGCATTCACACACATACATACATACAAGCACACACATGCCTCCCTGCATGCTTTTCTCGTTGTTTTACGTTGTTCACTTATTCCGTTGTTCAGTCTCGTTGTATTACGTTGTTCACTTATTCCGTTGTTCAGTCTCGTTGTATTACGTTGTTCACTTATTCCGTTGTTCAGTCTCGTTGTATTACGTTGCTCACGTTCTTCAGTCTCGCTGTTTTATGCTGTTCATGTTGTAACCATAGAAATATATATGAGACACTAAGAGTCTAGCTAGTATTATTTCTATGGATGTAACGCTGCCACGGACAACGTGACGCACAAATACGTCACACAGCACTTCGTCACAAAAAATCGCAATAAGAGAAGAAGCCCCCAAGTCTGATCTCTAATAGATTGTATCATCATCGAATTGCGTACGTGCGTACATGGTCGTAAACAGAGACACACACACGCGCGCGCTCGCACGCACGCACAACGCGCGCCCACACACGCAGGCACGCACACACACACACACACGTGCTATCCTATCTCGCTATCCTATCTGTCTATCTATATCGCTTATCAAAACTGTTCTCCGGGTTCTTGGTGGAAGAGCTTATCTCGTATGCAGGGACGGTAGCAGTACGTATCGTATCGTATAAACCAACATCAAACCTCCACAGCCCCACGCGGGCAATCAAGTTGCAAAAAGAGTTCGCCACATTCACTCACGGTGACATATCCGCCTCCCGGTATCCTCGTCACTGGACAGGTTAGCACCAGACGATCAGTGTTTTGGGGGGCACCCTGACATGGCGGGCACGTTGGTGAATCTTCAAGTGCTCTTCGGTGTAAGTTCAGCAGATCACAGATCAGCAGCAACGCAGTCGTTTTTATCCAGGGTGTCGGCCGAGCCAGTATGATAGGCTCTTTTTGCATGCACGGTAATAATCTCTCTCTACGGTTTTGTCAAGGAGTCCAACTGCTATCTGCTAGTGTGCTACATACACGCACCGTCCTTATAACAATGAGAGAACTAACCTTGCAGTGTGTGGGGGTTCGATTACGGCATACCCCACCCCACAAGAAAACAAATATTCTATGACGAAAACCCCAATAGAGGACCGAAAAAATAATCAGAAAATACCCCGGAGTTCGTTATTATTATATAGGTCATGTGATTAATCAACAAAGATAGATAATCTAATTGCTTTGTGCTGATGACGAAATAAAGCCTTAATAACGTAGTAATCAAGTTTTGCAAGATCGGCCTTGCCCCCGCGTTCCTACCGTATGCTTAGCAGACCAATATCTATATCGATTGAGCATGTATGTATATCGGATGTAATTTATAATCAAGCGCAAATCTCAGTTCGTCCCAAAATCCTTCTACCGTCAGGGTGGGTGGGTCGTCGCAACAATGAACATCCAGTCCGTTGTTCACGTGGTTCAGACCCTTGTTCGTGTTGATCGGGCCGTTTTTCGAATTTGTTCAGTCTCGTTGTTCGGCTTGTTCAGTCTGTTTTTCACATTGTTCAGTCTGTTTTTCACGTTATTAAGTCCCGTTGTTCACACTGTTAAGTCACGTTGTTCACACTGTTCAGTCACGTTTTTCACGTTATTAAGTCCCGTTGTTCACACTGTTAAGTCCCGTTGTTCACGCTGTTCAGTCACGTTTTTTTACGTTGCTCAGTCTCGTTATTCGCGTTGTTCATTACATTGTTCACATTGTTCAGTCTGTTGTCCACGTTGTTAAGTCCCGTTGTTCACACTGTTCAGTTTCGTTCTCTTATGTTGTCCACGTTGTTAAGTCCCGTTGTTCACATTGTTCAGTTTTGTTCTCTTATGTTGTTTACGTTGTTCACTTATTTCGTTGTTCAGTCTCGTTGTTTTACGTTGTTCACTTATTCCGTTGTTCAGTCTCGTTGTTTTACGTTGTTCACTTATACATGCCCTAGCCTGTAGGATGCAAAACTCATACTTCATCCCCTCCCGTCCGCTCCCTTTGCTCCCCTTGTCCCTCGACCAGCCCCCTTCTTCTTCTCCCACCTCAACCATCTCTCCTGGAACAAACTAACAGGTGCGAAAACATAACTTCGTTGGCGGAGGTAACAAACGAACAGGGGCGAAAACATAACGTCCTTGGCGCAGGTAACAAACTAACAGGGGCAAAAACATAACCTCCTTGGCGGAGGTAGCAAACGAACAGGGGTGAAAACATAACCTCCTTGGCGGAGGTAACAAACGAACAGTGGCGAAAACATAACCTTTTTGGCGGCGGTAACAAACTAACAGAGGCGAAAACATAACGTCCTTGGCGCAGGTAACAAACTAACAGGGGTGAAAACATAACCTCCTTGGCGGAGGTAACAAATTAACAGTGGCGAAAACATAACCTCTTTGGCGGAGGTAACAAAAACTAACAGAGGCGAAAACATAACCTCCTTGGCGGAGGTAACAAACTAACAGGGGCGAAAACATAACCTCCTTGGCGGAGGTAACAAACTAACAGGGGTGAAAACATAACCTCATTGGCGGAGGTAACAAACTAACAGGGACGAAAACATAACCTTCTTGGCGGAGGTATATAATGACCTTCACTTGCTAAATAACGCGCTCTTTCCTATAATATATTATAATATTTCTACGCGAACAGATTTATTCGCAACATTTCACTCTTGCTCATCGTCGGACTCATAAAACGGTCATAATCTCGGTGTTTATCACTAGATAAATCGCGCACGCGGGTATACGTTTAAACGTACGCAGCAATTTAGAACTTTGAACGTGGAGCGTGCCAGATGCAGAATTGATAAACAGCACACAGCCCTCCTTCGTTCCTATTTGCACAGTGCAAGCGTCTGGCAGCGTGTGCCCTCGCGGTGAGCGAGGAGCAAACATTCCCTGACAGTTACCGACGACTCATCGTTGCACACATCCTCTCTATACTGATCGCTGCAACAGCCACCATCATCAACCCACAGAATGCTAAACGCAATCCAGATGCTAAAAACTCCAATCAGGGTGAAATTCGCTACTTGTGTTGTACTAGTTTGTCCGTGAGTTGTGGTGGTTCTTGGGTGTTAGTCGTCTTACATACATACATGCACACACACGCTTGCCTGCATGCTTGCCTGCATTCACACACACACACACATACATACAAGCACACACACGCTTGCCTGCATGCTTGCCTGCATTCACACACATACATACAAGCACACACATGCACACACGCACACACACATGTATGCACGGACTCACGCACACGCCATAAATTACTACCCTGGACAAACTTGTGCAAATAACACTCGAAATGTTTAAAGCGTGTATTGCGAGAATTTTCCAGTGTTTTCCCCACTTTCATGATACCTACCGTTATTGCTTGAGTAACAGCAATTGTCTAGAGTAATGATAAAATTTCTTAGAACCTTCGTATTCACCAAATCCAATGAAATCATGCATGATTACAATTTTGCATTCTGTTTCTGTTTACCGTTGCCATCTCTCGGACTTTCTCGCGATAGCGCGAGACATCTACCACGGTGCGGTAATGCATACCGTCGCACTGTAGAAATCAGGTCAGAGTGTAAACGCAGACGTTTATACTAGCATAACACTAACAGCAGTGTAGTACTAATGCCACGTAAAGTCTGTTATTAGAGAAGCTTGTGGATTGCCAGTCAGATAGTAACATGGGAATGACAATGACAGAAAGTGCTCTGAATTATTGACATAAAAACTCAATAATATTTACCAAACAGAATTGCACGCCCTTTTGTTTTAATTATGTGCACTTGTTTGAAGACGGCATTTGTGATTTTGAGTCGGAACACGATAAAACTTATAGCTAGTATGATGTGGTCAATTCAATTTTTCTATGCTATAAGTTTATAACTGCATAAAATCTTGGTGTTTTGAATGTTGGTATAATCAGTGATATTTCCACTGTCAGGTGAGACTATAATCAGCTATATTGAGTTTTTCTGAGCCAAAAAACTCGCAATACACGCTTTAACATAGTACATTAATCGGACTTGTATCGAATACATGCATATATATATGCACACCACCAAGAAGGGCGGTAGACTGTACAACAGACATCTTACTCTATGTTAACTTCAGCACTAGTCAGTCTGCGGCAAACTCGACAGCAAATCTAACTACATAATTGTGATATTATATTATATATATGGTTGGTGTTCTTACGTGTCATTCTGTAGTAAGTACAGCCCCATCAGCTGTCCATAAACATGGCCAGAAGCTATGCCACCAGGACTCTGAAGTTGTTTAAAGAAATTAGAACATCAGTCTCAAAACATCAAAATACAAATCTGCTAATTACAGATTAATGGTTTCATGACTAACAAGCTTAAGAGTAACAAAAATCTGGATTATGATTGAGGAGAAATGTTTCTCAGTAAGGATGATAAGTGGGTGAAGTAGACTATCAAAAAGTAGCAGTAATGAATTAGTTAACTTCAACTTAGCTCTAGTACTATAGCTGCGGCAACTGTACGTGGGCTATAGCACTAGAGCTAACTTCAACTTGGCAGTATATTTTAAACGAAATTAAGTGCCTAACTAAGAAGCCCTTCACACATTGTCATACCCCCCGCAACATAAAATATGTGGCATTTCATTGTAATTTGTAAATCATTTATACAAGAAGAACAATAAAATAAGAACAATAACTTATTGAATACAGAATCTCCAATTCCTACTAGCACAGAAATATCTATTCTAAATGCACTGCACCCACTGAGTTAATCTCTATTATAAATAGCGCGTGTTGAAATGACCACAAAATGTAGGTATTTTACTGATAGCACGTCAGACCTGTGCTACTGACGCTGAGAGGGTCTATGTCCCCCAGGGTACTGCCGGAACGTACCCTGGCACTATCTAATATGCCGGACCGTACCTCGCCTACTCCACTAACGAGTCTAGGGAGTTGCCTACGCCTACTCCCTTACCCTAACCATATCAAATAGTTACCAGGGTATGTTCCGGTATACGGGACCGTACCCAGGGTACGTTCCGGCAGTATTCTGGCGGACATAGACCCTATGAGCGCTACTGACAGTACTGTGTTAGTGTTACACAGTCCAACAGTGTTACTGTGTTAGCAGTTAGGCATGCAGCCAGACTAGTACTACGCGATTATACTTAGTACAGCTGAGAGGGTCTATGTCCCCCAAGGTACTGCCGGAACGTACCCTGGGTACGGTCCGGTATACGGGAACGTACCCTGGGTACTAAATACTACTACTATCCAATATGCCGGACCATACCTTGCCTACTCCATTAACGAGTCTAGGGAGTCGCCTACTCTCTAACCCTAACCCTAACCATATCAGCTAGACAGTTACCAGGGTACCCAGGGTACGTTCCGGCAGTACCCTGGGGGACATTATGAGCCTTAGTACTGCACGAAGGGTCGTTGTCGTAACAGGTACTACAGATATGTACCCGAGGTAGTTTTAGGTTGTTTAGTATTGTTTATATTTTTATATGAGGTACCGGTATGTTTAGGGTTAGGGTTAGGGTTAGGGTTAGTGTTAGGGTTAGGGTACACTTCTGTAGTACAAGTCTGGTACACTTTGTGTATACATATATGTACCTCGGGTACATATCTGTAGTACCTGTTACGACAACGACCTCTTGAGCCCTACCTACCTACCTACCTACCTACCTACCTACCTACCTACCTACCTACCTATCTATCTATCT